GATGGTCTCAAGGAGGTGGGTGGGATTGTCCTTTCCAAGAGAGAACGATTCTCCTTGGGTGAGGAGAGCCATGCAGAAGCCAGCAGTCCTGCCTTGGTGGAAAGAAACTCACTGGCTACCAGAACCTTGCTTTCTGGTTTCATAATTTTCTTTTTGGAGACAGGTCTCCCAGTAGCCCCAGCTAGCCTGGAACTCACTATGTAGACCAGGCTGGCCTCGAACTCAAAGAGATCTGCCTGCCTCTGCCTCCCGAGTACTGGGATTAAAGGTATGCACCACCACACCCAGCTCAATATTTTTCTTTTTTAAAGTGAGTCATATCGAAAGTAAGTAACTGAATTATATATCTCAATGTTTTAGGGAAACAAGAATAAGCCAGCCTTTAATCCCAGCACTGCAGAGGCAGAGGCAGGCAGGTCACTGTGAGTCCGAGGCCTCCCTGGTCTACATGGCGAGTTCCAGTCAGTTGGAGCTACAGAGAGACCCTGTCTCAAAAGAAATAATAACAAGAAATAATAAAGACCAGAGCAGCAATTAATGAAATAGAAAATAAAAAAACAATACCTATACTCAATCAAACAAAAGGTTAGTTATTTGTAAAGATTGACAAATCTCTAGTAAAACTACCACAAGAAAGAAAAGATCCAAATTGATAAAATTAAAGATGAAAAGGGTAAGGTTGCAACAGATTCCAATGAAATCCAGAGAATTATGAGGGAATATATGGAAAACTTCAATATAAAAAAGCCTGGGAAATCTAGAAGAAATGACTTAACTTTCCAGAAACATATGAACTGCCAAAATTAAATCAAGAAGATATAAACAATTTGGACATATCCTTAACAAGCAATAAGATTATAGCAGTATAAAAGTCTCTCCACAAAAAAACCCAAGACTGGACAAATTCAACACTGAATTCTACCAAACCTTTAAGAAAAAGCTAATTCCAGGACCCTTCAAACTGTTCCACAATACAGAAAGGAAAAGCAAACTATATATACCAAACTCATTCTATGAAGCCAGATACTAAAAACCAGATAAGGACAACAAAAAATGAAAACTATAGACCAATGTCTCTGATGAACATGGGCATAAAATTCTCAATAAAATACTAGAAAATTGCCGGACATGGCAGCACACACCTTTAATCCCAGCACTGGGGAGGCAGAGACACAGGGATCTCTGTGAGATTTATGGCAGCCTGGTCTACATAGCCAGTATCTGGTCAGCTGGGGCTACAGGGAGACCCTGACTCAAAAAGACCAAAAAGAAAAAAAAACCTTAAAAAATTAAATAACACATTAGGAAGAACACATACCAAGGTGAGTTGGCTCCATCCCAGGGTGCAAGGTTGGTTTTAACATATGCAAATGAATACATATAATATATAAGGAAATATACTTAAAAACAAGCTACACTATCATCTCACTAGACACAGAAAAAGACTGACAAGTTCAACATCCCTTCAAAATGAAAGCCCTGAAGAAACAAAGATTAGAAGGAACATATTTCAATATAATAAAGGTTATTCATGACAAATCTACACCAACATCATTACTAAACAAAGAAAGAGCAAAAGAAAGCATTTCTTCTAAAATCAAAAATGAGACAAAGGTGCCTACTCTCTTTTGTTTTTTTTAATACAGTTTTGGAAGTCCGTAGAGCAATAAGAAGTAAAGGAGATCAAAGAGGAAAAGCACAACAAAAAAACAGAAAACAAACCACAAGCTGGGCATGGTGGGACATATCTTTAATCCCAGCATTGAGAAGGCAGAAGCAGGCGAATCTCTGTGAGCTGTGTAGCATGTTTGAGGCATTACAACCTCCAGTATTAAATTTAAAGATCAAAAAATAAGGCCAGGCATGGTGGCACACACCTTTAATCCCTGCACCTGGGAGGTAGAGGTAGGTGGACCTCTGTGAGTTCAAGGCCAGCCTGGTCTACACAGTGAGTTCCAAGCCACCTGGGGCTACAGGAGACCCTGTCTCAAAAGGACCAAAAAAAAAAAAAGACAAAAAAATAAGAAAACCAGTATGTATAAATGTTGTAGGTATGCATGCATATATGTATAAATTATGAAACAACAAAAAATTAAATCAAGAACAAAAGTTTAATAAACTCCCAAAAATATGATATGAAAAAAATTATAAATTCAGTTTTGAACTTCTGCTCTTCCTTTATCGTCTAAGTGCTATAATACTCAATTTATATGGTCCTGGGGATTCAAGATAGGGTTTGTGCATGCAAGAAAAGCATTCTACTAACTGAGCTACATGCTCAGCCCCAATGCATGAAAACTGTTTTGGTAAAATGTATAAACATACCCTCCACACACCAAGAATTCATTTGAAGCACGTCTGCCAGTAGTTCCCATTGACATATCATCTAAGGAGAAGGAGAAAAACATAAGCCTGTCATATCATATGTTTAAAAAATGTAAACCTTTTCAAATATGATTATTTAGAAGTAATCTGAATACATGAATTGACCATTGGCTTACACTTCAATTTCATCCATGAGAAAAAAGTGAACACAGAAAACTGCACCTAGCTAAAAGCACAGGCTGTATCACTGACCTGCCCATTCCTTCTATAAGTAAACTTAGGATCTTTTTCTGAGTTAAAGTCCCATATTTGTTGCTATGTTTATATATTTCTTCACCATTTATCATGTTCAAAAAGCAAGCTATTATTTTTGTCAGGTTGCTTCTCATAGGTCACTGGCAAAAAATTTTGAGTATTATATCTCCAATATCACTTTTCTCATATATTCTGTAATTCCCCCCCTCCCCGGTTTGTATAGTTTTGTATGCTGTATGTGATTCTTGCTTGTTGAGATGGGTCTCACTATGCTGCCAGGTTAGTTTGAAACTCATGGGCTCAAGGAATCTTACAGCTCAGTATCTCCTTCCCTACCCTTTACAGGTATACCTTACAGGTATACAACACCATGCTGAGCTTGCTCTTATATTTTGGCTTTTTAGAACATTTATTTATGGGGGCTAGAGAGATTGCTCAGCAGTTAAGAGCAGTGAGTGCTCTTGCAGAGGACCCGGGTTCAATTCCCAGCACCCATGTAGTGGCTAAGAACTGTCCTTAACTCCAGTTCCAGGGGAATCCGAAGCCCTCTTCTGACCTCCGAGGCACTGCACGATAGGGGTACAGTCACACACATGCAGACAATACATTCCTACACATAAAATAAAATAATAAAAATATTTTTTAAAAAAAGAACATTTATTTATTTCATGTGTATGAGTGTCTTGCCTACATGTAAGTAAGTGTACCACATGTGTGCAGTGGCCACAGAGGCCAGAAGAAGGTATCAGATCCCCTGAAACTGGAGTTATAGGTGGTTGTTAGACAGCATGTGGGTGCTGGGAACTGAATCCTGGTCCTCTGTAAGACCAGTGCTCTTAACTCTGAGCCATCTCTCCAGTCTTGGCTTTCTGAAACAGATTCATGCTACTGCTCTGTGACTTTCATTGTACAATTTTGCATTGAATATAAACATTATATTACACCACAACTGATTGTGTAATAAAATGTAGCTCAATCTAATGTTGGAGTGCCCCATCCTCCTGTATGAAACTCTCTCAGGTTTTAAGTGGGTTTTGAAGAAGATATTGTAGAAGCTGAGGTCTTTTGAATACAGTAGCAGATGGCACAGGCCAATTTCACCTTCTCCTCTGTCTTCTGTACATGGGAGCGCCACACAGTTCAGAACTCAGGAGCCTTTCATTCTGTGTCATTGTTAAACCCACTATATCATATTATCCTATCTCTAAAATAAAAGTACAATAAATTTACATATACTTTTAAATATTTAAACAAATTTTTTTTGGTCTTTTTGAGACCAGGTCTCCCTGTAGCCTCAGCTGACCTGGAATTCACTATGTAGACTAGGCTGGCCTTGAATACACAGAGCCTCGCCTGTCTCTGGCTCTGGAGTGCTGGGATTAAAGGTGTGTGCCACCACACCTAGCTTTTAACATAGATTTTTAAATTTAAACTAAACTATATTGCTAACTTATGCTCAGAAAGAAAAGCTACAAATATTCTGAATGATCCTAAGAGATAACTGAGGGATGTATTTATTTGGTATATCTCAGGCACTGCTCTCATGAACTTAACATTCTAGAAATTAAAAAAAAATCAATCACTAAAATAAGGAAACTAAACTACAAAGGAAACTACATCAAGGTAGTGGAACAAAGAGTAGCAGAATAAGACAGGAGTCTACTTGCAGAACAGAAAAATCTACCACCACAAAAAAGTGGAAGCTAGGGCTGGTCTTAGTGGCATATATTTGTAATTCTAGCACCTGGGAAAGCTGGGGTAGAACAATCATATGGGAGCCCCTGCCTGCAGAGGACAGGGGAGGGGAGAGGAAAGGGGGAGGGGAGGAGGGGGAGGGGAGGGGAGAAGAAAGGAGAGGAGAAGAAAGAAGGAAGGAAGGAGGGAGGGAGGGAAGAAGAAAAGAAAACCAGAAAGCTGATATATAAGATTAGGTTCTTTACCATCTACTTGACCTAAAGAAATAGGATCTTAACTTAGAAATAAATGTGGGCTGGTGGATTGACTCATCAGGTAAGAAGGGTACTTATGGACACACCTTGATGATCTGAGTTCAGTTCCTAGGACCTACAAGGTGGAAGGAGAAAACTGACTGCCTCCAAGTTGTCTTCTGACCTCCACATGTACATATACATAAATAAATGAATATACTACTACTTTCTAAGTTAGAGTAAATGACGGCATGCTGTATTCAGAATTTTTGTTAAATGAGACTATAGTTGCTTATGTCACAGAGAAAAGTATGAGCTATTGGGAGAAGATGGATGTGTATTTGTTTCATTATAATAACCATTTTACCAGATATACCTTTCTCATATACTATGCCTTAAGTATACACAATAAAATTTATTTTTATAAAGGCTGGGCGTGGTGATGCACGACTTTAGTTCCAGCACTTGGGAGGCAGAGACAGGCAGATCTCTGTGAGTTCAAGGCCACCCTGGTCTACATAGTGAGTTCCAGGACAGCTGGGGCTACAGGGAGACCCTGTTTCAAAAAGGCCAAAAATAAAAATTTATTTAAAAAAAAAAAACAAAAATAAGAGCCGGGCATGGTGGTGCATGCCTTTAATCCTAGCATTCAGGAGGCAGAGGCAAGCATATCTCTCTGAGTTCAAGGCCAGCTGGGGCTACAGGGAGTCCCTGTCTCAAAAAGACAAAGATAAAAAGCAGTTAAAATTTTATATTCTTTCTCCAATTGAATGTAGACAGGCAATGCTCATCCCTAACTATAACTGAAGACTGAATATTTACACTTGAGACAGTCAAATTTGTCTCTGTACTATAGGATGCCCCTAAGAATTAAACGGTTCAGGCCGGGTGTGGTGGCGCACGCCTTTAATCCCAGCACTCGGGAGGCTGAGGCAGGCAGATCTCTGCGAGTTCAAGGCCAGCCTGGTCTACATAGTGAGTTCCAGGGCAGCTGGGGCTACAGGGAGACCCTGTCTCAAAAAGACCGAAAAAAAAAAAACCCTAAAAAAGAATTAAACAGTTCAATGCCTAAAAAAGGTTGGAGAAGGGAAGTTATTAAGTGAAATTTTATACTAACTCTTAAGAACTGCAAACATTGTACCCCACTTGATTCCCTAAAATGCCACCAGGATTATATTCTTTAGGCAGAAGACTATATCAGACCTTCAAAAAGGAACTAGTCTAAGAAAATGCCTCAACCATATACACCACCCATTATAAACACTGAGGTAAGACACAGCTTTCAAACACTTTTTAAATTCATAGCCCCCCCCCCACCTTTCTGAGACAGGGTCTCTCTGTAGTCACAGCTGGCCTTGTAGTCCAGGCTGGTCTCAGTTTCTCAGAGATCCTGCTGACTCTGCCTCCCAAGTGCTAGGAATAAAGGCGTGCACCACCCATAGGGGGCCAAATTCTGTATCCTTTTATGAACATATGCCAAAACAGAATATTACACCTTGAAATAAAAACGATCTCAAGGGGGTAGATCCTCCTGAAAGAAAAAAAAAACTCAACAAATAAATAAAAACCCTAGCAGAAGAGTGCTAAAAAATTATAGGAAGCCATTGTCTTAGACTAACCTGTGGAGAAGGGCTCAACTAAAAATCAAAATGGAGTCACTTAAGCTGACATTCCACAGCAGCAATCTGAAACTAAACTTTTTATGTGATCTTTCAAGAAATCAGGAGGTATATAATAATAGATAACAGCTAAATTTCTCAAGCAGTCCATTATCAATTGACATTATAATGAAGTTCCCTTTGCCTTATCTTTCAACAAAAAAACCAAACCAAGCCAAAATCACCAACAAACAATAAAAGAATAAGAGAAAAAAAGACAAGGCTACAGGAAGTAACCTGAAGTTAAGGAATCAGTTATTTTTCCACTATTCTGTCTCCCTATACAAGCCTTATAAGGAAAGTAACTTTTAAATGATCAATTGGCTCCTTGCTTTTTGTGTCTGCTTTCTTCAACCCTTTTCTAACTAGAAACCAACATCCATGACTCAGTTCATGGAACACATACTCTATTTTATAGAATAAAGTATTATCTACTTCAGTAGTAGAAAATAAAGTCAGTTAAGATTTTATTTTTTAATTTTTTATTTCTTTGGTCTTTTTGAGACAGAGTCTCCCTGTAGCCCCAGCTGTCCTGGAACTTACTATGTAGACCAGGCTGGCCTTGAACTCACAGAGATCCACCTGCCTCTGCCTCCTGAGTGCTGGGATTAAAGGTGTGTGCCACCATGCCTGGCCCTTTTTTTTTTTTAATTTTTAAAAATTAGTTTATTGTGGAGTGTGGTGGCGCATGACTTTAGTACTAACACTAAAGGCAGGCAGATCTCTATGAGTTCAAGGCCAGCCTGGTCTGTAAAGTGAGTTCCAGGCCAGCCAGGGCTACAGAGAGACCGTCTCAAAAAGAGAACCAAAACAAACAAACAAACAAAAAAAAACTTTGTCTTTTTTTTTTTTTTGAGCTGAGGACTGAGCCCAGGGCCTTGTGCTTGCTAGGCAAGTGCTCCACTACTGAGCCAAACCCCCAACCCCCCCCCAAAAAACACCTTTTAAGAATTAAAGTTTGTGAGTAACTTTGACAAATGAGTTAAGCACCAATAGGATGAGCACTAGGGCTGAGTGTGGTGGTGCAGGCCTATAATCCCAGCACTTGGGAGGCAGAGGCAGGCAGATCTCTGAGTTCGAGGCCAGCCTGGTCTACGTAGCTAGTTCCAGGCCAGCTGGGGCTACAGGGAGACCTTGTCTCAAAATAGACCAAAAAAGAGTTGACAAGAACTACACAGACCTTCTGATACAGTCTTCTACACACAGTACCAATGGGACTCAATTACTAAAGTAACCAAATCTCTAGTTCATCTTATCCTAATTCTTTCACAATCACATCATGGTTTTTCCTTTGAAATCAGTTCTGCCTAATGTCTTTTTTCAATGAATATCCTGGTACTCTTCACTGTTTTTTCTCAAATGTGCTCTTTCCTTTACTTCTTCCTTGAAGTTAAATTTGCTTATTCTACTGGTTTCTCTCTTTATGCTTAGAACTTGAGCTCATTTCCTTAAAAGTTTTCATTATTTTCAAAATTCAAAAGTACTTTTTTTAAAGACCAAACTTTACTATGTAGCCCCAGTTGGCCTAGAACTCACTATGTAAACTAGGCTAACCTTAAACTTACAAAGATCTGCCTTTGCCTCCCAAGTGCTGGGATTAAAGGCATGAACCACCACACCTAGTATATTGTCATATACATTAAAGATGACTAAGTGTATTTTAGAAAGTAGGTAATTCTGAGAATTCAAAACAACAAAATAAAATGCCCACTTGTAAAAGTACCCTAAACAACAAGTTATGATATAAAGGTTTAAAAATACTAATTTAGTAAATTAAAAAAATAAAATGTGTATAAGTAAAAAATATTCTCACATGAGTGGTCTGACGAGATGTTGTGTGGAACCAAAACAAAGTCATCCGTGTCACAAGAAGAGTTCTTGCTACTATTACTGGCAGAATCTTTGGACACTTGTAGATAGTTGGGAGGACCCAATGGTGGGGAGGATATGTTTTCTTCCTGAATATGCTGCATATCTGGAAGGGACTAAAATTAACAACATAAAATTAAAGCTGTCCTATCAAAGCCAACTAAGAAGAGCCTACAGAGTATTTCTTTTATAATAGTGGGCATAGACTTCAGTCCAAGATTTCACAAAAAAAAATCTCTTTGGAAAACCTTTTGGAAAAGCACAATTTAAAAGTGTTTGCATTAAGTCTTCTGAACTGTTATCCAAAAATTATTTTTTAATATTTATTACTTATCACATGTACATGTCTAAGTCCCCCAAAGCTTTTGAAAAGGTCAACTTTTAATCTTTGCAACCTCTCTAATCCCAGCTCATGGCCTTGCAAAGTAGACACTCAATAACTGTTAATGATTAAACATAAAAATGTTCAGAGACTTCAAATTAATTCCATTCTGTACATTAAAAAGTGCTAAACATACTGAAAAAACCATACACAGGAAAGCAAGAGATTGTATTACATAAAACAGGCAAATAACTATGGGTAACTGTCAGACTACAAGTTTATCTACACTCACATAAAGATTTGGCAAACCTTACAAGTGTGGATGTGTTCCTTTTGTTAAAGGGGGAAAGGAGGTGGTTTGTAAGAGATAAAGAAGGGAAGAAATGTATATAATTATATTTAAACAAATACTTAGGCATAACCAGATGTGTATCTTTTGGCATTTGCCAAGTTCAGTAGGTGCTAACTCTACTGGAATGCTTTGATTATACAATGATTCTAAAACAATCAATTTTATAACTTCTTGTGTTGTCTTCATATTTCTTTTATTTATTTGTTTATTTCTTTAATTTTGAGACAGGATCTTCCTATAGCCCCAGCTGGCCTGGAACTCACTATGTAGACCAGGGTGGCCTGGAACTCAGAGATCCACCTGCCTCTGCCTCCCAAGTGCTAGGATTAAAGGTAGGCACCCAAACACCAGCTATGTTAAGTCTTTATGATCTTGTTTAATCTCTGCTGTTTTAGAAAAGCAGAAACATTACATCATGTTCTTTAAACCCCCGCCTTAAAATGATAATTCACTCCTACTAATGCTTTAAGCATCACTTGCAATGAAACCAATCTCTAAGCACCATATGACTTTTGTATGTGTCTGTGTATGTGTGCACTTTCAGGCATGCATGCACAGGTATCTGGGGGAATGCAAGTGGACATGTCTGTGAACCCAAAGGTGTTCCTCAGACCACCTGTCTTGCTTTTTTATGAGACAGGGTCTCCCTGTAGCCCCAGCTGGCCTGGAGCTCACTGTATAGACCAGGCTGGCCTCGAACTCACAAAGATCTGCCTGCCTCTGCCTCCTGAGTGCTGGGAGTACCACCATGCCTGGTTCTGTCTTGTTTTTTTTTTTAAGATTTATTTTAATTTATGTGTATGTGTATTTGTGTATGCTGGAAGTGCGTGGGTGCCCTTGGAGCAAAAGAAGGCATTGGACCCAGGAGCTGGAGTTACAGGCAGTTATGAGCTGCCGGATAGGGGTGCTGGGAACTGAAGTCAGGCCTCTGGAAGGGCAGTATGTTCTCTTAACCACTGAGCCATCACTCCAGCTCTCTCATTTTGTTTTTTGAAACAAGGTCTCTCAGTGAGACCTGGAGATTACTGATTAGGCTAGGCTCACTATCTATTGATTATAAGCATGCCTGGCTTTTTCTGTAGGTGTTGGGAATCAAACCTGAGTTCTCATCCCTGCAGCTGGCCTGGAACTCACTATGTAGACCAGGCTGATCTCTATCTCTGACTCTGACTCCCAAGTGCTGAGATTAAAGGCACGAGTCATCAAGTCCAGTTTCCATGACTTTTTTTGTATACCTCACATACATAATGAAAATTTCCCTTATCACAATGCTGGGCATGGTGGCTCACACCTTTAGTCCCAGGGCTCAGGGAGGCAGAGGCAGGTGGAGCTCTGTGAGTTCAAGGTCAGCCAGGTATACATAGCAAGTTCCAGGCCAGCTGCAACTACAAGGAGACTGTTTCAAAAAAGACCAAAAAAAGAAATATCTTATCACCTTTTTGAAGTCTCTATCTGGAGGTAAGAAAAAGAAGGGAAGATGACTAACATTACTAAGCATCAACTATGGACTAGGCATTATTCAGCTCTAATTCCAGTCACAATCTGAATTCCATTTTACAACTAAATAAATAAAAGCTCAGGTTAGGTAATTTGCCTAAGATCACAGAACTAAAATGTAGTCAAATTGAGATGTGCTTCTAAGTACCTTATGCTATAATTTCTTGGCAGTGGTTTAGACAGGAATGTTCTAATTTCTTTTCCTGCTACCCAAAAGCACCTGCATCTACAACCACCCTGGTCCTCCTTTCTTGTTTCAAGTGATGTTTCTCTTCTATTCAAAGCACAGCTGTCTGGCCCGCTCTGCATTTCATTCTCCTTTCCCCCTCTTGGCACAGATCAGCTCCTGACATTTTCACTCTCTCCCTTCATTCTCGTTTCATCCCTTTCTGTATATAAACATGCTTCATTTTCTTATTTCAAATTCCCCAAACCCTCTGATTACTACCTCCTCTTTATCCATTCGTTTGTTTTTGCAGTGCTAGGAATAGAACTGAGGGACTCACATGAGTAAGCCAAGTGCTCTACACTAGGCTGCACCCAGCACTCCTCTCACATCTTAACAATGTTCCTGACATCTTTGCTGACTCAAATTCGTCACCTATTACATATTCCTTTATCGCTATAAGCTATTTTCAACCCTCAATAAAATTGCCTTCATTAAGCTTATCAATACAATACTTCCTCCATTCACAAATGTACTTCAGATACTCTTCCCCTTCATTCAACTACTCTGCTCTATTTTTCCTCTTGTCCTTAATCTCTTTTGTGGGTACTTTTTCTCGTTTGCCTCTTAAAGAAGAGAAGAATATAGAATTTCCTGGGATACCTCTGTAGCCTAATGACTACTCTCCCCTTCCCCTGCCTTCAACTACTATTTATAACATGAAATTATTCTTTCCTGTATAGTCTCTTCAATGAGCTCTAGACCTCACCCTCCCCAAAACTGTGTTCACTGGCCCAGGTGACACCTCCATGCCTATGCAATAGTGACTCTCAAGCACTGTTCCATGTTCACTCACTGAGCAACTTTGTCAAGCACTCATCAGCAAGGTCTCCTTCCTCCCTGTAAGTCGCAAATTTCAACAACCACCAGGACCTGTAAATTCTACCTTTCTTTTGGCTAGTCCCTTCTTTCCCCCTTTCCTACTGCTGCCTTATTTCAAGCCCTCATTCTCCAAATAAAAATGATAATAGTAAGAGCTGCAATATTCTCAAGTTTACGTTTTCCCTCTACCCTTTATATGTCTCTCTTCAACCTAGTCATCCAATCTGTTTTGGAACAATCTAGCTAAACAGATCAATCATAACACTCCTTTACTTAAAACGACTCACTTTAAGAGTACAGTTTATATTCCTATGTTGAGCATCCAACTCCTGTCAAGATACAACCTCTGCCTACCTCTTATCCCCTTTATTCTTCCCTCACATTGCCAATGCACATACATCCAGACAGAACTAATTGGAGTGGTCTTGACCTCTCTATAATCTCTATATCTAAGCTGGATAAGACAGTAGCCATTTGCTATCTCTAGCTACTAAGGCTATCCCTCTGGCCTCTCCACTCTTGCTGGAACTCTCCACTGCCCTCTCCAGATAGCCTGAGCCTTTGTCCTGTTCTGTTTTCACTACTCAGCATTCTTCTATTTGTTTTGTTTTGAGACAGGGTCTCCCTGTAGCCCCAGCTGGCCTAGAACTTGCTCTGCAGACCAGGCTAGCCCCAAGACCTCAGAGATTCACCTGCCTCTGCCTCCCAATGTTCAGATCAAAGGTGTGCACCACCATGCCCAGTTTTACTGCTCAACATTCTTTATTTAATTTGCTTATGTATTTGTTTATTTCTTATGTGTAGTGAAGGCCAGGGAGGGAATGCTGGGGACTGAACTTAGGGCTTCAACATATGTTAGGCAAGCACTCTAACACTGAGCTCTATCTCTAGACCTCTTTTTACCTTTTGAGTCAGGTCTCACTACGTTGCTCAAGCCAGCCTTGAATTCAGTCTGTATCCCAAACAAGTCTTGAACTTGTGATCTCCTGTTTCAGCTCCCAAGTTCTCTTTAATTTTTAAGATAGGGTCTCCCTATGTTGCCCATCCTGGTCTCACACTCCTAGACTCAAGTAATTTCTGGTGTGTTGAGATTACAGTTGCACATCACCATGCCCAGCTCACCATTTTATATTTCACTAAAGTGTGTGTGTGTGTGCGTGTGTGTGTGTGTGTGTGTGTAGGACAGAAGTCAACCTTGGGTGTCAAATTCGTGTGTGTGTGTGTGTGTGTGTGTGTGTGTGTGTGTGTGTGTAGGACAGAAGTCAACCTTGGGTGTCGGTCCTCTGGTGCTGTCCATTTTTTTGAGACATGGGCTTGACAATTATGCTAGATTAACTGGCCAGTGAGTCAAAGGAATTTGCCTGTCTCTACTCAGTGTTGGGATTATAAGTGAAACACAGTGCCCTGTGTTTTTGTGGGGTTTTAAGGTTTTGTTTTTTTTTCACATGGAGTCTAAGGATTGAACATAGATCATCAAGCACTTTACCAACTGAGCTATCATCCTAGCCCTCATTTCACTTAATTCTAACAAACTTAAAATGCAAGTGGCTATAGAGAGCTAGAGTTCCTTCAGTGAATTATACTTGTAAAACTTTATGTATGGGGTTCCTCTACCTACAATATCATTTTCTTAGTAATTCTTGCTCTTTCTTCAAAACTTAACTCAAAGAATCTCCTCTTCTGAACAGTCTTCTTAGTTTTTGGTCTAATTTTGATGGCTCTCATCCATGTTCCCATAGGTAATGAGACAGACAGACAGACAGACAGACACACACACACACACACACACCCCTGATAGTAACTGAATTAGCTACCTGTTGTCCACATAATTAAAAGCCCTGGGGCTGGAGAGATGGCTCAGCAGTTAAGAGTACTGACTGTTCTTGCAGAGGACCTG